CCCCCCCCCCAACAATCAATCATTCTTGACAGGCAATTCGCTAGTAGAGGACCAAACAACAAAATGTTTTCTACAAAAAGTGTAATGATTAAATTAAGGCTTCCTGACCAGTGATTTAAATCAAATCCACCCTGACTTAGCCTACTTGGAAAATCTCACTAGGCCCTTAAATACCACTGAAAACCTTGACCAGGATGACCAGAAACAACCCATCAGTTCATTAATAATAATTTTTTTTGCATCAAAACTGATTTGTTTCTCATATATTTTATGCAGCTTTAACTATTTTAAAATTGTACACTTTGTACTCTAATTTCTACCTAAATGCAAATTGGACAAGGTCAAAAGGTATCTGGTAATGAAGGACATACTTTACTCACCATTTTCTAACACAATAAAAACTTCAGGTCTGATTAAATGTATGTTAAGCAATAGAACTGCTAAAATGTGCATAGATAGAATGCATCAGATCTTGGCTAGCATAAAATACCAATTTTAGTATAAAAAGGCTATGCAAATGTAAGTGGTTATATCAAAAATATTGGGGGGGGGGTGATCAACAGTTTAAATTAAGATGTCCTACTTGCTGATTTAAAAATCAATCTACCTTCAGAGGTCAAAGAATAAATTACTTTGCTAGTGTGATGGAATCACTATTAATAAACCAGTTTTCATGTAAGTATGATCAAAATAATCTAGAATAAGGTGATTTTTTCCCCACCTCTGAACTGCAATTCAACAGGTTCTAACTGTTAAGGTATTAAGAACAGTATTTTTCTAAAATGTTTCCCCCAACCAGCTACTGATGAAATTATTTCATCAATTCTCCCTTTGCTTAAAACAAATTGCACACCCCACACCCATTGCACCCTGGGACTTTTTTTTTTTTTTTATTTAAATGCTAATTGCTTCTCATGAGGTTTCTATTCAATCATTCTTTTGCACCATCCACCATAATGCATTTTAATGATTCAGTCCTTTCACACCATTATACAGAACCTGGAAGCTTGTGGAAGTTTACATGCATCTTTTAAACCCAATTTGCCCAACCTTGCACTCTCTGAAATCAACAGAAAAGCTACTATAACCCAATGGGTACAGGACTGGGCCCAACATCTCTTTAAAACTTTTCTATGAAAGGGGAACCTTGCATCCATTTAGATATGTATTCTCCAGAATGGAATTAGTGACTTTTCAGTTTCAAGCTGAAATTAGAAGAGTTCTTCGTATTTTCAAGTACCATTCTCTTCCTTATCCTTCAAATTACTGCCACTGCTTTTCTTTTAGACAAATAGAAATTGCATTATGAAATCAAGGAGAGGAGCCAGAGATAAAAAAATAATACCTGTATACACAAAGAAATCTGACCCCACTATAACAAGCATATATAAAACTTATAGGCAGATTAAGTAATTACTTTATATTTTTTCTTTCCAATTTTGTATTAAAACCTAAAAAAACCCTGAAGAAAATAGCAAAAAAAATACTGAACAACTGCTTACATACAAGACACAATGACCCTAGCTTCTTCATAAATTAGAGGAGCTTTTTCAAAGGATTATCTTCACATAGGCACTAACAGTTGAAGGGTTAATAGAAACACTTTCCAAGTCTGTTTCAATTACTTCTGTGTAATGATTTACTATATCAGACATTCATATAAAACAGCAAGGAAAACATAAAAAGAAAAAAAGAGAAACACATTAGTTTCAAGTTTTAGTGGGTTATAAGTTACAATAACCAACCAAAAACATTCCTATAACCACAACACTGATTTCATATTTAAAAAGGTCTACAGATGGGCTTACTCCTCACATTTGTTAACCCATTTTACAATGAAAATAAATGAAAATTGTTTAATCATCTGTGTAAGGGTAAGGTGTTTTAAGAATAAAAAAGGAAAACAAGACCCATTCTGGCCATCTCAACCCTCAGGATTTTTAATATCATACCGTTCTCTGCAGATCTGACAGTACATTTCATGTTCCTCAAGTTATTTGAGGTCAACAGTTGGTGTTTCTCTGCATATTTGGGCTGAGGGGGATAAAGGAATAGTAAACTATCAAAAGCTTAACATAACACTAGATAGAATTGAAATCAGTAAAATGAAGTTATGGATCAAGCTCATTTCATCCCTATATTTCTGTTCCTTTTTGCTTGTTCAATCACTTCCCATTAAAATTGTAATGGAGGCACTGTTTGGAATATGGTGTTATGCTCTATTTCAGTTTCGTAAAAGCAAATGGTTTCCCAAAATGCTTTTTACAACTACTAACAATGTGACAATTTAAAAATCGCATCTTGAAGAAAATAAAGGATTTCAATTTTTAAGAAAAAAAGGCTGGCAAGAAGAGTCTGAAATTAAATATAGATTGAAAAAAAGGGTGTTAGAGTCCACAGCTATCTAGCTGAGTATCTTTGTGGCTAGAGTGCTCTCCTGTAGTTTAAGTCTAGGCTGGCATGAATACAAAAATCTCAGCCAAGTCTACATAATAAACACTACACTACAGTCTCTACTCAAAAGAGACAGAAGACTTCTATAACACTCAGAACATTGGCCTTGCAAGCCTTAACATCTTGCAGCTCTCAGTCTCCACCAGTGGGAGCAGAAGTACAGATTGTTTTGTGACTCAAAGGTAAAAGAAAAAAAACCCAGATACTGTTCAGCTCAGAGGTAGCCAGGCTTGGTGTTAAAGATACTGTCAGATGGTCTGAAATAGTTTTATAACCAGCAGGGTTGCACTAGCAGGTAATAAAACACATGATTTTAAGCAAAACGCCAGTGCCTAGCAACCCACAGAGAGAAGGATCCTCAGAAGGATCCACTGCAATTTCTAATGCTCAGTGGACTTACTCATGCAGCAAGCTAAACATGGGCAGCATACATACATTCTCCCAGTTCATCCTATCCATACTCCAACTCCTAAACTTTAACCTAAGAGTCACTGCTCATCTTCATGCTCCTGTAATAAATGCTACCAACACCAATCATCAGGTAAGCAAAAGAACGTTACATCTGCTATTATTCAAGGGTGTCTAAACCATCCTATACAAGTGTCCATTTTGCTTATTCAAAACAAAACTGCACAACAACCACCCTCTCCCCCAACTACCAAGCACAGAGTCTGAAAGCATCAGAAACACCCTAGCATGCCATAGGCAAAACAGGAAGACAAGGGCACTGAAAATCCTTTTGCAGCTGCCAGTCCTTTCAGCATCAAAAGGAGTGTCATCTACTGGAAAAGGCACTAGACTAGGTATCAGAGACCTTGGATCTATTCCTATCTATACCACTCATCTGTTATACAACGTCCAACAAATCACCTATCCCCACCTTACTGTACATGTCTCTGGAACACACATTTTCAGTAAATTGCTGAGAGTTCCATTCAAAGTTTCATTACTAAAATGTATGCTCCACTGTATAACCCACTCATCTCTGCAATTAAACTTAAATAGGAAAACCATACAGAGAGAGATTATGTAGACATCTAAAAAAAGGGAGAAAAGCCCCCTTCACAAAATTAAGACTTGCCTACACAGAAACAGCCTCCTAGCAGTAGTTTCAGGCATCCTCGTCGGTAAGTATAATGTTAAAAGATGAATTCTTCCCTGGTGTAACTCATAAATTATTGCCATTAAAAGGAACACTCATGATTTTAAACAGTCAAACTCTACCAGCAGTTACTGGTGGAAAAATCATCTCTTGATCAACTGAGATGGAAAAGAGTAGCAGTCATTTCTCTTTTTGACCTGGTGCATTTGATAGTACTTTGGGCCTGATCCAATCCTTCCCCTGATTTCAACAGGGTTGGGATCAGGTCTCTCGTGTAATCAGTTTTATTGTTCCTCCCTCTATACCTAGCCAGCTTTCTGCTCCATTGTATGCATCTGTCACTCAAGGGGGTGGGGGAGGGTAAGGAAAACAAACTTCTCAGTAAAGTGGAAAATCAAACTGTATAAAAAGCACCAAATCGGCAGGGAGAGGCAAAAGGAAGATGGGCTTACAGCTACCTGGAGGGTTTGGGGTTTTTGTTTTTTTTTTGTTTCTTTTCCTCTAGAAGGGGAAGGGAGAAGGACCAGGATGAATAGGGAAGTTTTCTTCAGGGGACTTAAAATCATAGAAGGCGGGGGGAGGGGGGGGAGCAGGGGAAGGCAAAGGGGGTCATA